TTGTTTTCTTATGAGAGATGATGTATGTGTGTGTGTGTGTGTGCGTGGGTGAGTTTGTGTGTGTGTGTGTGTGTATATTTAATTTCTTTTGATTTAAAAACGGTTTTATTGTCTTGCCAATTGATGCTTGTTTTTTTTATTAGATAGTCATCTTATATATCGGTTGTTTCTATTAATTGTTTTCAATTCTGACTTTACGTATTATTATGTATTATCATCTACCGTCGGATAATTGATTTATCCATATTTCATGTTGTGTCTAACGTTGAGTTCGCTTTGAAGTTTATTTAATTGGCGTTACATAAACTCTTGTTATGATATATATATATATATATATATATATGTGTGTGTGTGTGTGTGTGTGTGTGTGTGTGTTAAGAGTCTTTTCCATAATAGCTGATTTATATATGTGTCTTTTCTTCACTGGATTTCAAAATGGTTTGATTGTCATGACAGTCGATTCTTTATTTTTGATATTTGTTTATCACCTTATATCAATTGTCTCTGTTTTTTGTGTTTCGTCTTGGGTATTTGATTTTGCTTATTATTATGTATTATCCTCTAACTATTGATTTTTGATGTTTAATGTGCGAGAGCGCTTTTGAATTTTATCTAATTAGTGCTATATAAATTATTGATATTATACATACATACATACATACATACATACATACATACATACATACATACATACATACATACATACATACATACATACATACATACATACATACATACATACATACATACATACATACATACATACATACATACATACATACATACATACATACATACATACAAAAACAGTTTTATTCAGATCATTGATATTACTCATATACAAAAATTATTCAAATAAGATTTGGATAAGGTTAAAACAACTATAGTTGCAAAAATCGCCGTTTATCAGACAATAAATAAGTTTTACAATGTTGTTTAAAAAGACGAGGTTTTGAAATAATTGTAACAGATAGAGGCAAAATTGTAAACCAAATTTTGGGTGCAAGAATAAATATGCTATCATTTAAAATTTTTAGTCTACTGAATGGTATTATATATGGAATGAAGTGACGAGTAGATTTAAAAATATGTGAAGGTTTGAGTAAAAAAATATTTGAGAAATTAGATGGTAGCAGATTATTGACTAATTTGAACATGAAAAAGGCAACAATAAAAATATGTAATTTATATATTGTAAGAAGACCTAAAGAAGAAAAATATTCATCAACATGAGTGGTAATTTTTAAATATAATAATAGTTTTATAAATTTTTTTTGAATTCTCTATAGTTTTGAGACATGAACAGCAGGGCTATTGCCCCAGATAAGATTACAATATGATAGATGAGGAAAAACAAATGCATTGTACAACAATATTAAAGTAGTTTTATTAAGTTTGTATCTTATTTTATAAAGAAGACCTAAAATTTTGCTTAATTTAGAAGAAATAGTATTAATATGTTCAGCCCAAGATAAATTATCTGAGATAATTAGACCCAAAAATTTTGTACTGTAAGACCTCTCTAATAATAATAATAATAATAATGTGAACATATTTTATTTATCCAATCGACACAATGAAACTATAAGATATTAAGATAATAAATTGTAACTAAAATGTTAAAATGAATAGAATAAAAATAATCAATAGAATAAAATAATCAAATGTACGATCCACCCTTCCTCATTGCCAATGGCAAGTGCATGGCTGTAAATTATATTTAAAATAGCATTAGGCAATGTTTCTGTCGCAATAAATTCCATATGACGAATTACACTGTTTATTAATTTAAAGTTAAACGGTATTGACCATGTAAATTTAAATATCGATAGATTAAAATTATTACTTAAACCAATTGGCGACAATTTAAATTTATTAATTATTATTGAACAATCTTTATATTCTTTATTTAGATATGCATTTAAATTTTTACATTTTTGTTGTTTATATTGTTTCAATGAAATTAGATTAGTTTCATGGCATATCGTCAGTTCCAATATTTCAATCTTGTTGCCCCTCGAAATGGTAATGTCTGGTCGTAGCGTGTTGAATAGGAGTGACATTGGACGAATGCCTTCCCTTTCCAAATCTGCAAACAAACAGCAATCGTTTGGAGCCTGTAACTTCAACTCGTCCATCATCAACGCCAGTACTTTATTATGTCTATCTGTGTATCTCTTCAGAGCCGATGTTGAACCACAGTTTGACACCACATGCTTGTTTGTTTGTCAAACGTTACACAGTGGGCACAAGGGAGTTGTGGTTTTGCCCCATTTGACCAGATTTGAATTTGTGGGTAGTTGTTGAATTATGTATTTCCTCACAAATCTGTAATGTATCCCGGACATGTTGTCAACAATTTTCGACCAACAAGTTATCCGTGCCGGAGTAATAAGTTCGCCAATTGACCTGAGCACTGTACCTTGAGATTGAAGTTCAATGATGTGGTTGAGACATGACTTCACTCGGGATTCATCAAGGAGTTTGAGAGACTGCTTTAATGAGCCTGTTTCTTTAAGCGAACTGTCAGGATTGACAAAGTTTGAAGAGGTTTCGTGCCATAAGCATCTAATTTCTTCATTATCGCTGTTTTTTAAATAGCTGCGAACTTTCATTTTTGTTTTTTTTCTGCAGTGTCTCTTAGTGACATGATGTTATTACCCCCGAGTTTTATTGGTAGTGAAAGCATCTCCGCTACACATCCGCTGATCGGCATCGAGAGCCACTCCCTGACTTTACTTACGATCAGGTTATCTAGGTTGGATGATATCCATGTTGGCGAGAAATTATAGTTGCGGAGTTCAAATTGAATTTGTGTTGGAATGAAGTATCGTAGTATTTTTAGTTGCTGTTGCGGTTTGATGTCCGAGATTGACAATTGATGATGAAGTCATTCCAAACATAAAAATTGGAAGTAGTTTTGTATACTTAGGTAGATTGTATGATTTTGAAGGTAAGGATACAAGAGCCAAAAAAGAAATTAGCTCAAAACTGACCACATTTCTGGAGACCACCTCTGGTCTGGACATCAAACCGTTATTAATAATAACAATAACAATAATAATAATAATGGGAACTCTTTCCAAATAAGGGCGAAGTAAATATTCAATGAAATAAAGTAAAATAAAATAAAATAAATGAATTAAAGATGAGAAAGTAGTCTACGCTGCTCGCCATTATAGATATACATTGTAAAATGCGTACAACGAGAAATATGATCAGTCTTAATATAGTTATTATACATTTGAATGTCTGTCACAATAGATGGCGTATGATGATGATATTACTGAATTAGTTAAATTGTAACATAATTGTTCAGTCCAAATAAAATTTATAAGGAATAATTTGAAATGATTAAAAAAGCCTAGTGGAGAGATTTCAAATGTATTAATAATTGTTTTTGGTCCTTTCTTATCGTCGACCAGATTGTTGTGGATGTTTTGGTATTTAGATATCTTGTAGTTCCTTGATGTGTTGAAGTTGGATTCGTGGCAGACTGTCAGCTCCAGTATTTCAATGGTGTCACCACGATGGAGTGGTAATTAATAATAATGAGAACTCTTTTATTTTTTTTATAAGCCAAAATATAAGTAAAAAAAAAGAAATTACAATTAAATATAAAATGATCAATTATTATAATAGTTAAAAGATTAAAATAATTGATAATTTAACATCAATGCTCGTCATTATGAATGTGTACAAAGATGATAAAATAATATAAAAACTAGAGTCAAGCTTTATTTCTGTCACAATATATTGCGTAAGTAGATGCTATCGCAGAATTGATTAAGCTAGATCTAAAATCGTCACGCCAGTTTATTTTAGCTTGAGATAAATTGAAAAAATTATAAAGTTCTATTGGCGAAATTTCAAAAGTGTTGATTAAAATAATGCAATGCTTAAAATCATTCGATAGGTTATTCTTGAGGTTGTTCTTGTACTTATCCACTTTGTAGTTTCTTGATTTGGTGTAATTGGTTTCATGACAGACTGTTAGTTCCAGTATTTCAATTGTTTTTTTGTACAAGATTGCTATGCCTGCTCGTCTGAGCGAGGTAAACAGTTGCGACACAGGGCGGATCGATTATTTTTCGATATCCGCAAAAATGATTGCTCCAGGCTCGATGCATGATTTGATGTTGTTTAAGATGATGGCAAGTAATAATAATAATAATAATAATAATAATAATAATAATAATAATAATAATAATAATATCATAATAACACATTCTATTTTAAATACTTTTCATTTTAATGAATATGAAAATGATGTTAATGATAACAATATCAAGTTTTTTTGTTAGATTAGCCATTTAAATTTTTTTCATACATGAAATTCACTTTTCAATTTCATTTGATAATGCTATTTACGACAAAACACATTGAAAAGGAGGTCTAAATTATTGATATTTAGATAGCAATATCATGATAAAAATCAGTGAAAACTTATTTCTGAAATAATTTGTTTGATAAACTCACAGAACTTCTGCATAGAAGCCACGCAGTCGTAGCCGGCCAGTGGGTTGGTTGCGTTTCTTAGGACGCATTGTGTGTCAGGTTTGCATTGGACGTTCTGATCACGAGACAGTTTATCATTAAATAATTATATATTATAAATGTAATTTAAATAAATATATATTACAAATAAAATAAACAAAATGTAAAGTCAATTATTAATATTAAAAATTTTATTCTTAATAAACAAAAACAAGTAGTTCTAAAAATTAGAGAAATTTCATGAAAATTTAATGGTAATTGATGGTAATGGAAAAACTGCAAAATGTCGTTTCAGACCACCCACATGAAAGTCTCCAATATCCCTTCCTTTATTTCGGTTCTCAGAGAAACTTTAAAATCGACTGTATTAACTTGAGGTGGTTTCCATTTTAATATCTCGTTGCATTGACCCATTTTGTAGCCCATATGAACTAGATGAAAGATTAGTCTATCTACCTAGTGGCACACCTTTGTTGCATAAATTCCCTCCAGTAAGTTATCGTCTAAAATGGTTTAGCTCTGATGCTAAATGGTTCCGCGGATTTATTAACTTTGCATTCATTTCTTGGTTCAATGATATCCTTCATTATGCACATCAGTCTCTTGTCAAAGTTCCAACGGCCCACATTGTTTTCATCTATTCGAATAATATCGTGAATGAGGTATCTTGGTATCGTCTTATCACAAATGTGATCAAAAACCATTTACCCGTTTAATTAAATGTCAATCAGATTGGCTTTTGAATCTTTTCTTTTTTTGAATGTTAATTATTGTACTACTTGAAAGACAGTATTATCTCTATTTACCATAAATATATTGTCTTTGTTTTCGACGAGCATCATGTACCTGACACCATCAGCTTTCCAACTAACTTTATAGGGCCTTTCCGTAAGAAATGATGTATTTTTTTGGTTCATGCTGACTGGATGCGCCCCAGGAAAAATCCGGCTTTGCATCATACTTTGCATTTACACATAACTCTGATTTTTTCTTGGACTTTTAAAATTTTTTTATCATCCTTGACTGTAATTACACCCGCAACTTTACCATCCATAAATAAGTTCTCTCCTTTGCATATTTTGATTTTCCAGTAACTGTTGCCCGAAACTACATTTCCATCATCATCTCTAGCAACATAATCTGAATCAGTGTACAGGTAGGTAGTTGGGGTGCTTTTTGTGCGGAACTGCTTTGACCGAATTTTTTGCAGATTTCGTCCAGGTAGTCCTGTTTATATATGTCAGGTGGTTTGGCATCATTAAACAGGTTTAGTGCCATCTCCAGACTCAAGTTATCCACTTCAACCAAATACGAAGCAATGAGAAAACCAGACCATGTGTACAATGGACTCCGATAATTTTAGTTGGGTTTCATTCAATGAAATCTTTTACAGACAGCATAAAAATTTGATGTTATTTCTTCTGTCAGCGGTTCGCTAAATCCATCGCAGACTCTATCGTCCTGAAGATCATCTTCATCATCATCATTTGATTATTAAAAGCGTCAAGTAAGTTAATTATTATTATTGTTTCTTATTTTTGTGTTTTTTATTTTTATATTTGTAATTAATTCTAAATAGGCTAGCGTAGTTTGATTTTTTTTGTTTTGTATTGTTAGTTGAATTTAAAATGTCTGCGTTGAATGGTGTCTACTGCTTTTCCATTGAACTTTTATTACATAGATAATTTCAATTTCAAAACATCTTTTTAATTCTATAATCATAATATTATTTTTGTGTTACATAAATTGACCATCCACACAACACGACGAACATTTACTTTGCAGCAAGCACAACATTACGAGCAGATGATTGTGTCTGAGTTTTGAACAGAAAGTATTCCAACCAATAATAACGCGAAATATGAGACTCTTACCAGTTGAGCTAACTTGCCAACCAAATCACTGGACGCCAAAATGAGGCTGACGAAATTTTCACAACCAGAGTTTGTTGATTTCAACACTGTAAAAATTGTAAAATCTTATCACAAGCAAAAAAAAATGAAAAAAAATTATTTAATTGCCAAAAACTTTACATGTCAAATAAACGATATAAATCAATAATATGAAGTATTAATAAATTAATAATAAACGTCGTGATAAACTTTGACTTCCAATTTTTTAACACATAACAACGCTACAGTTGAAATAAAGAGCACCGGCGCCACCGGTATAGCGTACTTTTTTGAATTTGGTTTAAATGTAAAAAAAGACGTAGAATCCTGCTCAGTAACCGAACTGAAGCTGTACCAGAAAGTCCTTTGGATCTTCCAGGTTTAATTGTGTTTTATGGAAATGACGTATTTCCGAACCTGCGAATTTCGCTACAAATTTTATTGACAACAGCAGTTTCAATTGCAAGCTGTGAGCGATCATTCAGCAAATTGAAACTTTTTTTATCGTATCTGAGTGCATCGATGGGACAACATCGTCTCAGTGATCTTGCTTTTCTCAGTGTTGAAAGAGAAACATTGGAAACGACAGATCTAAACAACATAATTGATCAGTTTGCGACAATGAAATCTAGAAAAATAAATCTATTGTAAAGTATGTAAATTATCTTTGACAGTGACTGAAACATATGTTCCTAATTTGTATATTTGTGTTTTATCTTTAAATACAATGTTCCATTAAAATTTGAATTGTTTTTGTAAACAGTAATTTATACAATGTTAAAATTAATTATTAAACATGTGATTAAACATGGAGAGGGGGCGGGGAGGGGCCAATTTTATAGTTTGTCCTCGTGCGCAAAATACCCTGGCTACGCCGCCGCTGGATTTTATAATTTGACTTGAAATTGAATCACACCGTTAACAACATTTGTCTAGGAAGAGCACACAGCGTTAAAAATCATTAAATTAAAGGTATTTTAAATTTCTTCTAAAAAAATACTTGCAATTTCACAAATCAGAATAATTTTATAACTCATTTTTGCTTCATTTCAAATATTTCAGATTTATTTGTAAGCGATCTAACGTTTATCAGACCAAGTTTTGTTACTGCAGCATTCTTGTGTCATGTCAACATTTACGTATGATGTTGGAAGCATGACAGCAGTTTTAGTTTTTAAAGAACAATTTTTAATTTTAACACAGCTTCCATCAAACCAAGTTATTTTCTTTTTCCGAAAATTCTTTACTGTTAAAGAAAACAACACTTTACAGCGTGTACACCTAGCAGGTTTCAAGTAAATGTCAAACAATTGAAATTGCATCAAAGTAAGCACAAACCTAGTTTCAGGCTTATTATTATTTTTAAAGACCTAAATTTTTATTAAAAACATTAATTTTTATTAAAAATTATTGACTATTAGATTTAGAACATTTTACCATAAATAAATCAAAACTATTTTGAAAAAATTAAATCCAATTTTAAAAATTAAAACGCAAAAAACTTTATAACCAAAACTCAGCAATTTAAAAACCAACTATACGGTCTGTGCAAGTGTAAAACTTAACTGAGCAACGAAATATACATAAGACAAAATATAAGTGGATCTATTTTTATTCATATGTACGTCTATTCATATAAAACTACATGTATGTGTGTGCGTATAAGCAATACGTGTACAATATATACAGTACGTGTGAAGCATACAATTTTTTAGAGTAAAAATTTAGTTTTATTTATTAGTCCCGTTGTTCAGTGAAAACAACCGACACTTGTTGCATTGGTTGGAACAGATATTTTTTATAATATTTCCTACCACGTCTGTTTGATGAGAGTTTTTTATTTGTTTTTTGCTATCCCAAGTAATTTTTTAATTATATTTATTTTATTATAAAGAATTATGAAAGTTATTTTTTTGAAGTTTTTCTTATAATTAATATTTTATTATATTCTAGCAATTACATAAGTTAATTATCTCAAGAAGTTTTTATTTATTTTTAAGATAGTAATATTTGTATTTGTATTTGATGACTTGTATAGCGCACCTCCAGAATGACATCAGAAGCGCTAGCATCGCTGTGGATTATTGAATAGATGATTTTTTAAACGTTTCTTGAACATCCGTAGATCCATGCTGCTGAATCTTTTCAGATCTGTTGGCAATGCATTCTAAATTTGAGCTGACGACACCAAAAATCTTCTTTTTCCAAAGCGTGAAGTTTTGTGCTTTTGAATCACGAGATCTCCATTATCAGAAGATCTTAATCTGTTTCTGTTTGTAACCTCGGATACTGGTTGGAGCTGCTCTCTCAGAGAACATGAAGTCTTGTGTGTGTGTGTGTGTGTGTGTGTGTGTGTGTGTGTGTGTGTGTGTGTGTGAATCTCTGACAAGAAGAGCCAATTTAAACAAAACTCTTTCCGGCATACAAAGCCAGTGCAACTCATCTCTGATGTAAGCTGATATCGACTCAAACTTCGTGAACCCAGTAATATGTAATCACATATACTGTGTTTTGTCAAGGTTTAGTTTCAACTTGTTTGATAGCATCCAATTTCCCACTGCGTTTACTGCGCCGGACACCATATCATTCACTCGACACGATGACTCGGGCCGACCAGATCCGTACAGTTGGATATCATCAGTATAAAGGTGACAATGAAGACCTGATGCCCCCACGACGCTGATGACATCTGCAGTGTACATAATGTACAATAGAGGGCCAAGCACTGAACCCTGCGGGACACCGCGGATTAACTCTGAGATGGCGGTGTTTAGATCATCACAAACAGAGACAACCTAAGTCCTGTCTGCCAAGTAAAATTGAAACCACCTGAACGCATCACCGCATATACCATAAAAAGTTGAGAGTCTTTCCAACAGGATTTGATGATCCACAGTGTCAAACGCAGCACTTACATCAAGAAGTGCTAGCAGTGCAATGTCTCCAGCGTCAACCGTGTCACAGACATCCTAAACCACCTTCGGTATCGCCGTCTCGGTTGAATGTGCTCGACGAAATTTTGATTGAATTTTCGGAAGCAATGTGTTGCTGTTCAAGTAGGCGAGGAGCTGACGAGCGATTATCCGTTTGATGATTTTGGAAATGAAAATGAGGTTTGAAATAACATTACTTGCCAAACCTGGTTTTTTCAACAGCGGTTTTACCAGAGCGATCTTTTGGAACTTGGATAGTATTGCAGTTTCTATACTTTTATTAACCATGTTTTACAAAAATGGCAAAAGTGTTTCAACAAACTCCTTCATGAGTCCAGTCGGGATTGGATCAAGGCGGCAAGACTTACTAGAAGAAAAGAGAATTAATATTTGTAGATCCACAATCTTTTTGGTTCATTGGCGTTAAAGATTTTAAACAACTGAATTTTTCTCCTTTGATAAATATAATTTATGTTTTTCCTCAATTGTTAATCTCCAACGGATTAGATGGGCATTGTTTTTTTTCGTCAGCCGATAAATTCTTTCCAACCTTCGTGTAGAACGTTTTATGCTGTGGCAGTCTTTGTCAAACCAGCGACATAATTTAGAACGAACTCTTTTGTTTACCAATGGAGCGTGCTGGTCGACAATTTGTCTAAGAGTTGAGTCATATAAATCAAAAAGCTCCTCCACATTACAATGTAAGTAAGCCCCAGAATCACAGACAGCGCTTCCACTCAATAAGCTTCTGAACATGTCACGATCAATACTCTTGTTGTTTCGAACTCGTCTGTAGACCAATTTTGATATTTGAGAAACAGCAACCGCCATCGAGTAGGATATAATCCCATGATCTGAAACGGTAAGTGAGTCAACGTGGGCATTGAATATCTCAAACTCAGACCTGGTGATGATGACATCAAGTTGACCTCCGAATTTATGTGTCGGAAAATCAATGTGCTGAACGCAACCAAATGTTGACAACAATGATTTGAAAGATGATGCATGCAGGGTGGAGTTTTGGAATTGATGAACCCCCCCCCCCCCAATTAGATATATTTTCATCACATAATGTTGTCAAGAACAGTATCGGATCTAGCGGGAACCAAGGAAGACCAGTACCTCCCTCCCCATTGTGAGCTGTTTTTTAATAAAAGTCAAAAAAGGAACGTTGTTTTTTGTATAATCGGCTAAAATTGAACTTGATAAGCAACGACAAAGGTCGTCAGCCACAATATCACAAAATTTTGGTCTTCCACCGTAAAAATTTTGCTCTTGCCTCCGTAAAAATTTAAATATTTTCAAATTTTTGGCCTTCAGTCAAAGTTGTCCAGATCCGCCACTGGTCAGAAATGAAATTCATTAAATTATTTTAGAAATAATTTATAAGTTGCTTTGAATGATTTATGAAATTTTCGTGATTTGGTTGTAAAAAGAAATAATTTATATATTTGAATTTTTCAAAATAATTTTGTTTAAATTTCACGCGTAGATTATTCGTTTTTTATATCCTATCCATATAGCGGAATTGCACTGCATAAAATTTTTGATATTCGAAACATAACTTGGATGATTAATGAACGTGGATAATTTTTAAAAAATTTATATGACTGAATTTAAAAACTAATTTACATTTGTTAAAATCAAAAAATTAAATATTTCTTTAATAATTGCATGTTTGTCTCTTTTCTTAAAGTTTCAAAAACAATATTCGATTTATTTTAAAGTATTGTTTTGATATTTTTAAAAATATAAAACATTTTTATTAAAATAAAAAAATATAAAAAAAATTTAGGAACATAAATGCTTAATTATTGAAATTTGAAAAACGCGCTGTTTACATATTTTTTCCCAAAACTCAACAGCAGGATGGTTTCGATGATAAAATTGTTTTAAAATTTTATCAATAAACTTTTGATTTTTTGTTAAACTCTTATATAAATTAAATAACCTGAAATTTAATTTCATCCACTCTTTTTTTTCGTTTTTTTCATTTTGAAAAAGTTATTTATTTAAAAACAATTAAATAATTTTTCATTTTGACGGTTCGAAACACAAGAAACGTTTAAAAAATTGAAGAACTTTGTGAATTGTGAAATGAATTGTGAATTAAAGCAAATTGTTAACAAATTTCAAACAATTTTAGACACTCTTACAGGGTTTTTAATTAAATGTCTACGTTTAATTTGATTCACAGATGACTGATAATAAATAGAACCTGCTGCTTAAACAACTCTCAATAGTTCAAACGGAAAATAATTACATAGTTACCAATTGGTGAGGCATCATTTTTCAGTTAATTTGCTATTATTCTACTGGAAAACACCGCTATCTGAGTGTTTGATAATTTCAATCAAGGATCAACTATGACGAGAGAAAATGTTAGGAACGACTGTCTTTCAGAACGGAACTTTCCAATTGAGCTTTCAAAACGTTCTAAAAGTCTTACTACAGATGCTAATAAATGTACAAACGTTCTGAATTTGCGCACCGATGAAAAAAATGAAAAAAGTGAAAATCTAAACCAGATGACATTCAGGATTCCGGAGATCAAAAAACCTCTGAACGCCTTCATGCTCCACAAGAAAGACGAATCAGTTCAGCATCGTAAGATTTTCGTAAATATATTGGAAATGAACGCTGAACTAGGTGAGAAATTGAGAAATGAATCACAACATGTTAATGATCGTTACTTTAAAGAATATTATCGTAATTTTTCAAATAATCCGACGGTTCCAGCAAAATGCGCAAATCAACCTAAGAAAGCATCCAGTTTGCAAATTAATGGGTGTCTAATTCCTTCTGAAAAGATACTAGACATTGATGTTACAAATTTCAAACCATCTGCACACATTCCAAATGTACGGTATAATAAAACGCTAAATATTCCTTCTGAAAAAATCAGAATATATGATATGAAAAAGTTTCAATCGCCTACTCAAGTTTCAAACGTACAAGATAATGAAAAGCTAAATAAGCGTCAATATCAACCTGAATCATATAATAATAATAAAGGATACGTAGAATGCAAACTAAGCAAAATTGACAAATGCTTCAGCAACTCCTATCCGTTAAAAATAACTAATGAAAAATGCAAGCTAGAAAATAAATGTTCAAAAGATTTGATTACAGAAAAACGTTTGACATGCAAAATTGAACCACAAGATGAAGTGGAGAATATTCAAAACGAAATGGCTGAGGATGTAACGACACAACAATGGCTACAGAATCCTAACAGCAAATATTCTTCAAATTCTAAATTTAATGTTGCAAAGCAGTTTCAACCTGTTCCTGATCCATTTGGCGCACCCCCTAGTAGTAAAATATTTGAAGATGGTTTCCCCCATTCAACCAAGTCAATGGAAAATGCTTTTGAACCATATAAACAGCAGCTTGAATTTACTTACGATTCCACAAGTTTGATTCACTGTGCAAATCAATATACACAGGTATCAGACTGTCTTACTTCATCTACAGAAAATAATTTGGGCGAGGAATTGAAAACATCGGAAGTTTTGTCCGGAGCATTCGAGGTGTTATATGACGATTATAAGTCCGTTAAAAATTTGATCACAAGACGTTGTTCAAATTCGTTTCAATGTTTTATAAAATAATTTTCTCCCATCCCCCAACTTTTTATTAATAATTTTTCTATGATTTTATTTCGAATTTTGTAATTTAATTATGAATTATTGTTACATTCATGGGGTTATTCACTAACTCTATTTTTCTGTCATGTTTTTTTGATATCTTTTTAAACATTTTTAACTTAATTTTATAATTAAATTTACAAATATAATGACAGTATAATTCATAATAAATAATAAGATTTACGATGTTAATACCTTTGTTAATTTAATTTCACTAGCGCCGCTCTGACTAATGTAATTTTTATGACGTTGAGTCTTTGATCGTGCATGTTAAATTATACAAGGTTGGTTGTTGTTTCAAAAGAAATTATGAAAGGGGTTCTGTTTTCATTTAATATCTGAAAAAAGAAAATTTTAAATAAGATTAGCGAGGAATTGACTGCTCTTAGCCTAATTTTTCTCTAATTCAAGCCAAGACAAAACTTTCATTAACATTAACAATCCGATATTTTGAAGTTTTTTATAGTTTCAGTTTTAAATTATTTTTTGAGCCAAAAACGCAACTTATCACCAATAACAAGTGGCAAATGCTTCTGTGCTAAGCTATTCACTATTAAAAGTTGTGTTAAACGTTAAGCATTCATTTTACCAAAGAATCAAACCACATTAATATGCATATGAGAAATGTCATCATTATTACTCAACAATATTATAAAAAAAAACTAATTAGAACACCTGATTAGATTACATTAGAGAGGATTCTTTTTAAACAATTGTTGTAATTATGAACGTAGTCTTCCGGTTCTTCTTGAAATTGCGACGCATATGGCGCTTCAAGTTATAAGATTGTTGTTTATATCATCATTATTATTTCAACTCAACATTTTTGTGTTTTTTTTTGTGAATTTTATCATGAGCAAAGTAGCAGTGGAGTCACTCGCCAGCAATTCAGCCTTCACATATTCAAATTCAAAGGTTCATTCAAATTTGTGCGTTTCAATGATTTAACATGAAACTGTCAGTACGATAGTTTAATAATGATAAAATAATTTATTAATAAATTTTTTATTAGTAAATTTTATGAATTTAAAAATACGAATTGCTTAATGTTACCAGTAGAATGGTTAAGTAAGGAACCGAGTGATAAATCTTGTGACTTTGTCAAAGTGGAAGAATATGCATAGCAAAGGCGTAACAAAATGTCCTAGCTGACATCCAGCCATTGATGCTGAATTGAAATAACATTTTTTTTGATGGATATCTCCACACATTACATCGATTGCAGTAATAAAAGTGATGCCAATCACAATGAAATCTACCAATGCTCTTCAATCCGTAAAACATTTTTACTGAATCTCGAATCCGTCGTTGATCGGTCTTCGTCAAGATCGTCGTGGTAGGAATGCCGTCGTTGCTAACTATTCGATTGAGGATCGTCCAGTTGACGTCTGTGCTTCACTCCTCAAACGTCAGAGAAATGGTCCATTTGTGTTTTAATGAATGAATGAATAGATGAGTAAATAAATAAATAAATGATTGTGTGAGTGAGTGAGTGAGTGAGTGAGTGAGTGAGTGAGTGAGTGAGTGAGTGAGTGAGTGAGTGAGTGAGTGAGTGAGTGAGTGAGTGAGTGAGTGAGTGAATAAAGTTACAAATTTAATGTTTATTAAACCAATCTAACGATTATATATTTCATCTGAAAAATATATTACTACATATATAATCAAATACATATATTACTAAATATTACTAAATAAATTATTATAATTATATATATTAAATTAAATTATATATTACTAAATAAATTACCATAATTCATCAATCACCATCAAATACAGCTCGTAAAGTTTCATGAACCTGTTTAAGGTTTAGGATAAACACACTTTTAAATAAATGAAACTTGATGTTATTGTTCATTAAAAGTAATAGTTCTTAAATTAAAAATTAAATTTATATATTATTTATTATTATATGTAATATATATTTCTTTAATGGTATTTATTAAATGGTACTTTGTTAATGGCAAAGCAAGTTATGAATCACTGACAATAGCAAAAATATTTAGCGTCGGAGTAAGGCCTCCCGCGGTCTTCTCAATGACTAACTCACCATTATTACTTCAATTTATTTGTGAGTTGCTTCGTTGACCTAAACATTATTGTGCAAGAAAAGCTTAGAATCGAACTAAATTTACAATTTTTTTCGCAACAACAGCGTTAGGTCACAGTTCTGCTCTTGATTTATTACCGTAATAATAATAATATTGTTCGGTCTATTCATAGAAACTGCACGATTTAAATTAATCCTACAAATAGAGGAAGATCGCGTTAGGCCCCTCAATCAATTTCTATATAAACTGGAATCTTCTGCGCTAACCTACAACACTCCAAACGTTAGCATTGGGATTTATATACTATTCTTTCTATTCTACTGCTACTACTACTACTACTACTACTGCTACTACTACTACTACTACTACTACTAATACTACTAGTACTACTACTACTACTAGTACTACTATTACTACTACTACTAATGCTGCAACTACTAATACTACTACTAGTGTTCTGTTATTGTAGGTACTGTTAGACATCTCCATCATGTTCTTCTTTGTAACTGCTTCGATGGTCCTACTGGTCAATGCCCTGACGTCAGAGTCTATCAACAGTGGGTTTCGTTTGTGTTGATTTGTATTTAACTTATTTAAAATTTATCACAAGTTTGATTATTTATACTTGTATCAATTCATTTGTTTTGCTTGAATCAGAAAGTTCGATGTCAAAAGATATGTAGTAAAGTAACAATCGCTATTAAAAATAGTAGAAAATGAAATTTTATGAATATCGTGAATTTTTAACAAGTTTTTATGTTTTCAGAACTATTTTTTTCAAATTTGAAACATCAGTTTTGCCAATCTGTCCCAAATTGCCGGTGAAATGCCTGAATCCGTGTGAGCTTGATTTTGACGGAGCTGGATGTCAGATATGTATCTGCCCTGTGGATTGTAGGGTTTGTATTTCCATTTTTTACGGAATAAAATGATTTGCCTATCAACATTTGTCAGAAACTGTCCACCAATCTTTTCAAAAAACGTCTTAAAAATTGTTGACTCGTACAGGCTTTAAAAAACTGTCAATAGCTATTCAGAATTTTAACAACACACACGCACATACATGCATCACCTATGTTTCTAGATTTCTGATTCCGCAATATGAAACCGATTTGAGGGAATGTTTTTGAATACGAATGTTTCTAGTTTAGATTTTGTTATATTTTTCTTTCAATTTGTTGTTTTTTTTAAATAATCTGTAAAATTCTTTTTTATTCAATGGATAAAATATATTTCAAACAAATTTTGCTTCCAAATCAGGTGAAACCTTGCCCTCCCAATTTTGAATGCAAGAACATGTGTGTTGGTGCTGGTTGTTCGGACTATCAGTGCGTTCCCAGTAAGTTCCAAATTTTTACAAATTTTACACAAATGATAAACATTTTATTCAATTTTAATTATATTTTTTGAAGAGTTGAAATTTTCTAAATTTCTTACATTTTTATATTTCTGCAAGCTTTTTTCGTTTATGTAACTCATCTGAAACTATCTAATATTTTTGTAATATATGGTATGCTTAGTCAAATTTTTGTGAAAACTTACGCTTTACGTTAAACGCCTGGGCGATGAAATTGTTTCAGTGGATTAAATAAACAATTTTAAAATCAAGTTAAGAGACCTAGGACATATATTTTGTAGTGGTTCTTACACAGATGCTAGTCTTCTGAACCACTTTATACTTTGTTATTATTATTATTATTTACTAGTATTATTTAATAAAAATTGAGTAAAATTTATGTTTGAAAAAATTAAAAATCATTTTATATAAATTGAATGAAATTCGAAACATACGGATAAATTACGGATAATTAAATGATATTGTTGAAACCAAAAAACTGAAGAGTGCAATCCAGTTGGTTGCGAGAACAAGTGTAACAGTGGGTTCTGGATAGATGCCAATGGTTGTCCAACCTGTAGATGCAACAACGTTTGCGAGGTGGTTTTAATATTTTAAATACATAAATAAATTTTTCTTTTAATATGAGAAGTGAGTCATCGTTCATAAAAGTTAAGAAATATAAGTTTGAGTAACGTGTATTTAAAAATGCAATTTGATGCAATGATTTGCATTTAAAAATATTTTTTAAGAACAACATTGAAATGTCCTTAATAGGCATACATTTGGTTCCTTAATATGTTCATTTAAGTTCAGTAAACAACGCGACAAAAATTTTGGCGGCAAGGTGGCATAATGGCGAAGTAGTAAAAGGAGCTTGGTGCTGCTGCTGTGGTACCGGGTTTGAATGAAAAGAGATCCATGCGTGTCAGTGTTTTTGTGTGTTTAGGAGAGGGGATTCACACGTATTCACGTGCACTGTGTGAATGACGTTGATACTTCCAAAACTAATAAATTAAAGAGAATCATTTTTTTTTGTCGTATTTTTTTGAAAAATTTGTTGCGTGATCAGAACGTCCAATGCAAACCTGACACACAATGCGTCCCAAGAAACGCAACCAACCCACTGGCCGGCTACGACTGCGTGGCTCCTATGCAGAAGTTCTGTGAGTTTATCAAAAAAATTATTTCGGAAAGAATTTTTTACTGAGTTTTATCATGATATTGCTATGTAAATATCAATAATTTAGACCTCATTTTCAGAGTGTTTTGTCGTAAATTGCATTATCAAATGAAATTGAAAAGTGAATTTCATGTATGAAAAAAATTTAAATGGCTAATTTAACAAAAAAACTTGATATTGTTATCATTAACATCATTTTCATATTCATTAAAATTAATAGTATTTAAAATAAAAAGTGTTATTATGATATTATTATTATTATTATTATTATTATTATTATTATTATTATTATTATTGGTGTATCTGTAAGCGCCCTTTAAAAAGATCTCAGATATAAACAAATACAATATTGATATTTAATTATTTACCCATATAATAATAACATTTAAATATTATATTATCTATAAAAATGGAAATAATTTTCATCCTTATTTATGTCAACTTAACAAAAGGCTGCCCAAAACCAACTGTGCCAAAGATATTTAACATTCCTCAAAACTATTGCCAAAAATGTTCGCTGAACTGTTTCACCATGAAATGTGCCAAGGGAACTCTCTGTTGTCCAGATTGGTTCGGCTGTTACAGTTGCATGAAGCAAGTGCCTTGCTAGTTTACAAATGTCTAATACATCTACAAGGAAATGATTTTTTTATTTGATTTGTTTCATTTTACTTCTTTTTCTATTTAATCATATCATCATACATATTTGATTCTTCCTCTATATTTATAGTTTAATTTTATAATTTTGAGTAATATTAATCAAATTTTAAATTTTATCTTTCCGTTTTGTACATTTTATTTACACTCATATTATACTCACGTTTGATTGTTCATGTCTTTTAACCCTAAAAAAAATTTGTACTTTCGTTTTTATTTTTTTGTTGTTACTTTCATAAAAACTTTTTAAAAAATTTAAAAATTAGTTAGCGTTAGCTCATGACTTCGTGTTTTCATTTAGATTCAATTTTGTGCCATCACATGTTGATTACTTTTTATAATTTGTTAGTTTATTCGCCATAAATCAAAGACTTTCAACATCATTGATTTTCATCTATTAAATTTCAGCAGAAAATAAAAACTCATTTGAATACGTTTGCGTTGTTTCAATCAATAAACTTTTCAGCCAAGAAATTAACGAACTAATGAATTAATAATATAAATGAATGAAAATTTGAATGAATTAATAAAAAAATGAATGATCAATTGAAAAACTAATTGATTGGTTAATTTATTGACGGATCGATTGATCGACCTATACGAACGAGCTGAAATGTAATTAAGTAAACCCTCGTGACCTGACCTCCACTTATAAGCTTGATGAAAATTTCAATTAAAGGACAAAAATTTCAATAACTGGTTGTGCGGGTATATAAATAATCTGCTAGAAGGACGCGTTACATCAATATAAATTTTTTATTTTATGAAATTACATTACTTTTGAAATAAGCATGAAATTTTTTGAAACACCAATCCTCCAATTCCTAATAATTTGTAACCTAATGTATTAAACACATCACATTTTTATTAAGTATCAGAAATAAATTGAAAAGTCATATAAAATATTGAAAATTTATTGCATTAAAATAGTTCAATGTTTATTAATTATATCATCTTTCATAATCATTTCATAAATTATTATGCGAGTGTGTGTGTTTGGGTTTAATTATTTGATAATGTCTTCCCCTTTTTGAACATCTTGAGATGCGTGGATTCATGGAAAATTAAAAATTCAAGCAATATGATTATAAATAACAGCTACATAAAATTAATAGTGCAATAAAAAAAGATACATAAATATTTGAGACTTTTAAAGGTATTGGATTTATATATTTCTTATTTCTTTCATTAGGGCGCAAACTCAGAACGTGTGTAGATTTATTAGCATCTGTAGTAATACTTTCAGAAGGTTGGACATCATCAGGTTAATATTTACAAATTTATTATTTTTTTGATTGGTGCGCAAACCTCATAACCTCTATTGGTTCATTAGCACCTCTAGGGAGATTTCTCAAACTATTTAAATGATCATGTAAAAAGTTGTGAAAGCGAGTTGGACCTCATTTGGTTCAAATGTTCACATTTCCCTTTAACGTTGCACAAATTCAGATCATCTGTAGGTTCATTAGCATCTGTAATAAGATTTTCAGAACGTTTTGACAGATCCACAGGAAAGATCTTTTGTGAAAGAAAGTCGTTCCAAACATTTTTTCTGTCATGGTTGATCCTTGAAAAAAAAATTATTAAGCCCCTAAATGGCGGTGTTCTTTAACAAAACAATAACGAATTATTAGAAATATGATACCTCAACAATTGTTAGCAGCACAAGTTTTGTGATTGAAATGTTGAGCGTTGTTCAAGCAGCTGTTTCTGATTATTATTAACCAGCAGTGAATCAAGTCGTACGTCAAAATTGAATTAGAAAACACTGTAAGATTTTAAACTGTTTAATATATGTTGACGATTCACTTAACAGGTTTGATGGAAGCACATAAATCTTGCTGAAGCCTGTTTACAAGCAATACCATAGATGCTTATACATGCAGTCTCCAAACACTGTTAACAAAGAACAAAAAATTGAAGTAATTTACAACCATTGATAATAAAATTTAACTTCTGTTGTAAAATATTACTTAACAGTAACAAAAAAGTAATAACGTCTGAAAAAAATAAATGACATATTTATAGAATTTAAATTAGTTTTCGAGCTCAATTTGGCATAGAACTAACAATAATTTAAACATCCGATGGATTTAATTGCGTTTTCAAAGTTTTTTTTATGATTTATATAATAATTTTTTTTATAAATTTTAATTATTTTATCTTTTTTTGACGTCAGTATGTTTTAAATGTTTTTGTGATCATATCCGTTTTTACCATAATTAATCTTATAAAAAAAACAAAATCATAAGGTCATATTTTGTTCAACTCTTAAGATGGTCTTCAGTTTAGAATTCTTGAACAGAATAGAGCGTTTTATAAGATAAATTGGAAAAATCATTTGTGAAAGATCGTTGGATTTTCATGTTTCGTTGCGCAAATTCAGTACCTCTGTACTTTAATAAGAACCTGTAGTAAGCCAAAATCGCTAACCTCTGCAGCGTCTCGTCGGTTGAGGCTGCTAGATGCATTTGTATGGCGGATTGTAGTTTGTGCGACCACAATTGTTTCAAAATGCTTTCGTCTCTGTTATTTAGCTTCAGTTAAGAAGCATCACGTAGAGCAGACAACCTTACAAAGACAACCCTCTTGATGAATTAAATCCAGAAACTGCTGTAGTGTTTGAAAATAAAATTTGTGATGACCCATTTTAATCTGTTAATGATGATGAAGAAAGTAAAGATAAAGACGATAAAAAAAATCCAAGACTAGAATGATTTTTCAGCCGATAATGTTTCTTACTGGGTTGACTTGGGACCCACTAACTGTCAGCATCATTATGGTCTTTTTGATGAATCTTGTCATATTTATGCCTGAAGAAAAATAATAAGATTTTGTTCTCAAAAACTCTTTTATGGCACATAAGCAAATGTTGAACAGTACAAAAGAGAATGGTTATTGTATTCGCCATCTAAAGGATCTGTGTACTACTTCATTTCTAAACTCTTTGCATTTAAAGGTTTTACACATGTTTAGCTAATAAAAATGGTTTCAGTGACTGGAAAAATAATATTCCAGTTTATAATCATGAAAAAAACGCTAATCACAAGGATTGCATGTACGTTCTTAATTTGCTGGAAAAATGTTTTGAGACGAACAGTAGCGGTTATTTGTACAAGAGCTGATCGTGGTTTGGTTTTTAGAAAAACAAATGAAAAATTCGGATCTTTGCAAAATGAAAATTATTCAAGACTTCTAGAGCTGGTTAGTCAGTTTGAACCATTTCTAGCATCGCAAATTGCAAAATACGGATATTCTGGAAAAGGAAATTCTTCGTATTAATCCAAAAATATATGTGAGGAACTGATTGAAATTATGTCTAAAAACTTCATAAAATCATTTTGAAGAAAGTTAAGAATTCCGTTTATTTCAGCTTTTCGGTAGATTTAACACCTGAAATTTTACATATAGATCATTTAAGTGTTGTCCTTTGACATGTCGTAAATCGAAAGCCGATTGTGCGATTTTTAACATTTTTAGAACTGCAAAGTCACATTAGTGAAGGTTTGGCTAAGCAAGTATTGCAGTACATGCGTGATGTTTGTATCATTGATTTTTAAAACGCAGAGATCAGTCATGTGATAACGCAGCTAATATGTCTTTGTGTTATAAAGGCATGCAAAAAAAATTTTCCAAGAAAATGAGTTTTTTATATAAATACCCTGTGCTGCACATTCACTAAATCTGATAGGCAAAAGTGCTGTTGACTCTTGTTTGGAGGCAGTCAACTTTTTCTATAGTGTGCAATTGATTTCTAATTTTTTCTCAGCTACAACTAACAGATGGAAGATTATGAAAGAACGACTTGGGAATGAAACGCCGGTAAAAGTTCCTTTCCGACTCCAGATGGTAAGCATATGCTGTTGCAACTGATGCTATTCCCAGATCTTATTCTCAGATTATAGAAGCGTTAAAATGCAAAGAAGACAAGTTGCAGAAGGGGAACAGGAGAAAAAAAGCGAAAAACATTTAAAAAGTGCAAGAATTAGAATTTGTTTTCATGCTTGTTTTTTTGTTACGACATTTTCACAGGGTCAATCAACTTTGCAAAATGAGCACATAAACTTAAAAACGTGCTGATTTATATTCATCACTATCACTAGCAGATCATTTGCATGAATTTAAGAATAATGTTGAAAGATTTGAAAAAGCTGCAAAAGAAATACCACCAGGTGTAGAATATAAGTCAATTATGACTAGTAATTGTAAACAAAAGAAAATGATTGTTGATGGTAATGACCCTGAGATATCTTTGAATTCCTGAAACAAATTTCGTAAACTTCAAAATGTTGTTTTTTTTTTTGTTTTTTTTCATGTATAAAAGTCTTAATGAGTAATATTAATTTAATTAATCAATCAATCACATTATT